GTTTGCTATTTCGCTGTCGTCATGCAGTCGTTATAATGCAAACTTTAAATTGGACCAATCAGTGTCCGTTATTCATGACAGTCCGCCATAATTTTGAGATCAGTGAGGATGACCACCCATCGTTGGTGACCGACGCCCGCACTCATTGATGAACTTTAGACTTCGCTAATGCTTTCGTTTCCCCGGGTGTAAATAGCCGGGGGGAATTAGTACCCTCGCACGGCGCTTCGCGCCGCCGGCTCGGGGATAAATTTTAATATTATTAGTTTGATCGCTTTAGGCTATATAAGTATATTATATAGCTACATATGTATAAGAAGCTTTAAAAACAGTATCTCATGATATATATTATATAAATTTTAATATTAATCCTTTTAGGCTATGTAAGCATTATTATATATATCGATTTTACCAACAATTTGAACATAATTTATAAGGGATGGTAATCTTAGTTTCACGATCCGTAACCCTATCTTACCAGTGGTACCACTGGTACCATTCGACATTTTCAAAGGTACCCCAACTGCCATGACCCTTGGATCACGGATGGTAAACTTACTTTCACGATCCGTGACCCTATCTTACCAGTGGTACCACTGGTACCATTCGTACCATTCGACATTATTTTCAAGGGTACCCCAACTGCCATGACCCTTGGTTCACGGATGGTATACTTACTTTCACGATCCGTAATCATATCTTACCAGTGGTACCACTGGTACCATTCGACATGTTTTTCAAGAGTACCTCAACTGCCATGGCGCTTGGTTTACGGATGGTAAGCTTACTTTCACGATCCGTAACCCTATCTTACCGCTGGTACCACTCGACATGATTTTAAAGGGTACCCCAACTGCCATGGCCCTTGGTTCACCGATGGTAAACTTACTTTCACGATCCGTAACCCTATCTTACCAACCGTACCACTGGTACCACTCGACATGATTTTGAAGGGTACCCCAACTGCCATGGCCCTTGGTTCACCGATGGTAAACTTACTTTCACAATCCGTAAACGTATCTTACCACTGGTACCACTGGTACCACTCGACATGATTTTGAAGGGTACCCCAACTGCCATGGCCCTTGGTTTACGGATGGTAAACTTACTTTCACGATCTGTAACCATATCTTACCACTGGTACCACTGGTACCACTCGACATGATTTAGAAGGGTACCCCAACTGCCATGGCCCTTGGTTTACGGATGGTAAACTTACTTGCACGATCTGTAACCATATTTTACCACTGGTACCACTGGTACCACTCGACATGATTTTGAAGGGTACCCCAACTGCCATGGCCCTTGGTTTACGGATGGTAACCTTACTTTCACGATCGGTAACCATATCTTACCACTGGTACCACTGGTACCACTCGACATGATTTTGAAGGGTACCCCAACTGCCATGGCCCTTGGTTTACGGATGGTAACCGTACTTTCACGATCCGTAACCATATCTTACCACTGGTACCACTGGCACCACTCGACATGATTTAGAAGGCTACCCCAACTGCCATGGCTCTTGGTTTACCGATGGTAAACTTACTTTCAGCATCCGCAACCCTGTCTTACCAACCGTACCACTGGTACGGATGCACTGTACAATAGACACAAATCGACAACAATACCGATGGTAGATGGTAGATTTATGAAATTTACCATTCATATTGTATCGTGGTATTGGACCATGTTCTATATATAGAGCGGTGAAACTCGCTGAAGTCGCGCTGGTCGATGTGTGATGCGGAAAAGGACTGGCACGAGCGTGCTTTTCGGCAAAAGTTGACAAGGAGCGTGATTTTTCCTGCTGTTGTATTTTCGCTGTTTTTTCATTAACTACGAAATTCTTGAGGATGTGTTTGCACTGTAACGACGAAGTAGTAACTAGTGTATCGTACGAATGCTTGTTTGGCCTGTATAGTTGAATTTTGAAAGAAATATTGAGGATAATGAGTCGGGCTTTTGATGACTTCAATGAAATGAAATTTTCAAAACAGCATTTGGGCATGTTATCAAGTCGTCCAAATTTCGAAATTCAGTTGATGGTAAAGATTATAATTATGTGCTTATATCCAAAAGACTCGGAGTTGAGCAATTGAATATAAAGTGTTGGAAAGTGAGGTATTTTTGTGTGTTAAATTTTGCCTCGTTAGACCATTATTTCGCTGAAAAAAAAACAACAATTGTATTTTGGTCATGTCATGATTTTTTGTTATTTTGTTAATAATTTTGTATGACTTTTAAGGCATCCAATTGAAGTAATTCTGAGCCGTAAACATATTTTACTTCTTGGCCATTGAATCAAAATACGACTCGCTTGGACGTTTGTTGAGCGCAATAGTCGAATACATGTAAGTTTCGTGCCGACTTTGATTTTTTTGACTGGCTGGTCAAGACAACTTCTCGCAAAGATTCGTTAAAAAAATACAAATTCAAGTTGAGCATTTCTTGATTTTCAACTGAAAAGAACAACTAGTGGCTAAAATTAATTGTCAATTGAATTCTATCGAACGGGGACGATACGTGTACATACGAAGTGTTTTAAAAACCTTTCACGTCATGCAAACAAGGGGGAATTTCGTTCTCGACCAATCAGCGCTTTTGTTTACATTTTTGCCCTAAGCCAATCAGAATGCATAAAACGCTTCATCACATGAAATTTGTTAACAAACGTATGGGGTTTTTTTACAAACGTATGGCTATATATATATATATATATATATATATATATATATATACCGTATATATATATATATATATATATATATATATATATATATATATATATATATATATATATATATATATATATATCGATGTAATGTAACCTAGCATCATTCCTGATGATGACTGAATCTTAGTCGAAAGCTAGAATATTATTAAAATGTTTATTTTCGGAGTTACCGTTGTTTTATATTTTATTAAAATACTCAGTGGTTCCCGTAATTTTTGCATGGGGTTACTTCATAGCTTTTCTGCAAGCGGTTTTTTCCTTTTTTGCCATGAAATTGATATATGTTGTTCTTAAAAGAATTCTCCTCATCTCCCTCGTGGCGATTTTTGATTAATTGCGTGATTGCGAAGATCATGAGTCTTCAAACTTTGCCTTGCGCAAGCTTAAATACCACCCCTCGAATTTGTAGGTTCCGACAGGATTAGCGTTTTTAAAGGCCTTTCAAATCGAGGTTTGAGAGGTTTTATTTTTTAAAAGATACTTTTATCTTCATATTTTCACATTAGATTATTAATATCCTGTGTAGCAAGTAAACAGGCCGGGTCAAGTTGACATGTCGATTTCTTGCTAAACAGCGTGGCGATCAATATTGTTCGTATCTAAATACAGGGAATTTTCAAAATTTTGTTGGTATAAATGGCCTAAAGAAACTCAACAAATATTTGGACTATGGACCTTCAAACTTATGCCAAGTATTTATTTGATTGATTAGCTCAATAACTGTTTTCTAGGCTCGTTTTTCATCGATTTCGACATTTTGTCGACTTCAGGACAGTGTGTCAACATATTTGCGTATTGCAGCCTGTGGACATGAATATTTTCGTTTGTTTGACCATAACACTTGTCTTCATTGTTTTTAATCCTTGATTGACAATATATTCATTGGTCTCAGAGTCCTAAACTTAAGGAATATGGATGACTTTGGGACAGAATGATTTTGTTTAATGTTGCTGTTCAGGTATCAAAATTTATGGACATATATGAACTTAATTGTTTTTACTTCATCTGGCTCACTAGTCACAATTGGGCCCTGTTCATATTACCTGGCTACGTGGGAGACGACATTTGCCAGTATATCCTATCCTGTTACTATTGGCCTGGCTAAGCGTGAGGTTTCCATTGCCAGAATTCTGGCTATATGTAAGCCAAGAAATTCACCATATACAATAGGCATTGTATCCCAAGGCTTCAAGCATGTGTTCTGGATAGCCTAGATCATATAAACAGGTCCACAATAGGTCCCAAGACTATAATTGAAACATTTTAGTGTTAAAATTTGTGCATTACCAGAATACCTGTACACAACTGAATATTTTGCACATATTATATAATTCATGCAATCCAATATTAAGCCCCCAGTAACCTTACAAATAGGCCTCCCTTCAAAAAATTAGATTTCCCTTCCAAAAATAAGCTCTCCCTGTTAAGACTGCCTCGTACCCAGGCGTCTCTCGTCTCGTAAAAAACAAGTGATGCGGATATGATGAGTTTACATGAAGTATTGTAGTGGGGAGAGATGGGCGAAGGGGATAATGGGAAGAGTGCACTTGGACCATACTTGACAGCCCCTTCGCGCGTCGCATGCCTGAATACTTCATGTATAATTATTTAAAGCGCCTGGGTACGAGGCAGTTTCAGGGCTAGTTTGTCATTTGCCTCACAGGTGTCAGGCTAACCTGGCAAGTGTTGGCAAGAAATTTGTGTGAAATGCTGGTTAATTTGTTAATGGCAACAGCTACAGAAGTCTTATATTTAACAATTTCTTATTTACTTGGGTCAAATTGTGTATTATAACATGATTTTTAGTTGAGTGAGCTGGCCGGTTGGCCATCTTATGACCTTTAAATTTATTAGTGTGAGACTCCCAATGTAGGATATCAACTTGCTCAAGCAGATGCTGGGCCAATAAATTTAACCAGGCTGTTCCATGTGAATGCAATCTCAAACATATAAAAAATGATGAGTTTCTTTAGCCAATTTATAACAACACAATTTTAAATATTCCCTGTATTTAGATACGAACCATGTTGATCGCTACCCTGTTTAGCAAGAAATCGACATGTCAACTTGTCCCGGCCCGGAAGTGTCCTGTTTAGTTGTTACACAGGATATTTAATAAGTTAATGTGAAAATATGAGGATACTAAAAAACTATCTTTTAAAAAATAAAACCTCTCAAACCTCGATTTGAAAGGCTTTTTAAAACGCTAATCCGTTCGGAACCTACAAATTCGAGGGGTGGTATTTAAACTTGCGCAAGGCAAAGTTTGAAGACCCATATCTTCGCAATCACGCAATTAATCAAAAATCGCCAAGAAGAAGTTGAGGAGAATTCTTTTAAGAACAACATATACCAATTTCATGGAAAAACCCCCAAAAAAACCCTCTGAAGTAACCCCCATACGTTTGTTAACAAATTTCATGTGATGAAGCGTTTTGCGCATTCTGATTGGCATAGGGCAAAAATGTAAACAAAAGCGCTGATTGGTCGAGAACGAAATTCCCCCTTGTTCGTCATGCTTCTTGCGAATTGCGAAAGCAACCGGTCGTAAGCTTTCGCAAGCGTTTTGAGCAAAAACTCTAAAATATTGGCTGTATTACCTGGAAATACAATAGCAGAATCTACTAAATTATCGTATAACATCGGAATTTTACCCCCAATATCTATTTCTTCATCAAAACTTGACTACAAAACAGTCAAAACCACTGGTCAAAACATCCAGCTCAGTTTTCCCGCCATATTCATCCTTGCCATAAGACAACGTCGCCATAGTAACCACAACAAACTCGTTACCAGTTCATTGCATCACACATCGATCGGCGCTCCTATAGCCGTTTCACTCATAGGCGTACCGGGCGGG